CACACGCTAATGACTTTTTTTTCTTTTTTCTTTTTTTTTTTGAGACGGAGTTTCGCTCTTGTTACCCAGGCTGGAGTGCAATGGTACTATCTCGGCTCACCACAGCCTCCACCTCCTAGGTTCAGGCAATTCTCCTGCCTCAGCCTCCTGAGTAGCTGGGATTACAGGCACGTGCCACCATGCCCAGCTAATTTTTTGTATTTTTAGTAGAGACAGGGTTTCACCATGTTGACCAGGATGGTCTCGATCTCTTGACCTCGTGATCCACTGGCCTCGGCCTCCCAAAGTGCTGGGATTACAGGCGTGAGCCACCGCGCCCGGCCGCTAATGACTTTTAAGTTTTTATCCCAGCCCCAAGTCTTCTCTTTGGCTCAGATCCACATTCCAAGTTTCTTCTTCTATTCTATCCTAAAATCACACCTGTTAAACTTTTCATATTTTTAATAGATCACCACTTATCTAGTTTCCCAAACCAGAAGTCTTCAGTTCAATCTCAAATTCTCTCTCAATTATTTAACCAGCCATCATATCTTTTCAACTCAAACTCCAAAATATTTCATTAACCTTGCTTCAACATTTTCTTCTCATTTTTATTCCACTGGGTCAGTTTCTAAAAACCCCAGTAATGTAATTTTCTGTAGTCTTTCTCTCCCTTTTTTCTCTTCAAAAGGGTCTGTTTTCTGGGCAGGAATGGCCACCTGCAAAGATAAGATTTATATCACTTTATTGCTCAATAATGTTGATTGTACCTTAAGCCTCTCTTTGTTCACTCTTTAGTTTTGTATAATAAGTTCTTTAAAGTATGAACTATGTGAACTCTCTCTACCACTCAATTTATCCAAGCATACCGTCTGCTATCTCATCTTACCTTAAAACCCTGTATTCTAGGTTTTAGATCTTATCAGTTATCCTTTGCTTCCTGTGACCTTGTTTCATGATGGAAGATCTAAGGAGTCCTTTGAAAACTTGCATTCCTGTCCTTATCTGCAATGCCATTTAATGACTCATGCTTCACATAGGCCAGACCCCATCTTACACCATTCACCATTTGGTCTTTCAAGAAATAGTGTTAGTGAGAATTGTACTGAAAATACTTGTACTCTGATCTGCTTCATTTCTAAAGGGATTTGCCTAATCATTTATTCACTATCCTCTTGGACTTCACTGAATACCTACTATGTGCCAGACACTGCATATAGAGATACAGCCCTCTTCATAAAGGTACATAGTCTAGTAGAAGGGATGGATACATTAAAAAATGTGGGAATTGATGATAGCCTACCTTCAGTCTAAGTGTATATGTAGTTGTGAATGTCTATTAAATGAGTAGGGCTGGCTTCTCATAAGAAAGTGAAAATGTAGACCACTTCTCATTTTTCAGCCACTTTTAAATTATTAAGGGAAATACTATTTCAGGAGTTTCTTTTTGGTTAAAGCCCTTACATTTTTCAAAACACTTAAAAGATTTCATATATCATGTTCATAGTTTGTGTAGTTCTCAAAACAAGTCCAAAATTATAAGTGAGATCTAATGAATGTGAGTTTTACAGCTTTTACTTTTCCCCTGGGTGTTTCATGGCATAAGTGATACTGAACAATTAAAATATTGACTAAAACAAAAGGATAAGAAGCAACACATTTTTTTCACTGGGGCACAAGTTGAGGACTCTCTCCTTTATTGCTGAGACAGATTTATAAATAGTGTATATAATTAACTATTTTGCACATTCAAGTGTGTTTGCATCAAATGTTCTAGTATGTTTGTAAAAATACTTAGTTCAGTTGTGTTTTTAAAAGCTTAATTATTTCTCTTGGGGATTATGTCTAAAACTACTGACCAATTCTGTCTATAACCATTTGCTTGTTATACCAAAGACCAATTTTTATACCATTATTACAACTTGGGCAGGCATCTTGGGGCTAAATGTGCCCCTACATATATTTATCTACTGATCTTTTTAAACATTATTTTTTGAGATACTTATATTAGCCAGAGCCATGATTTCAGTAAGGCTCAATTAAAATCTAAATGTGCTTTCTAGTTAAAAGTTGCTTATAATTTTTAAGTGTTTAGTTTGTGATTTCAAATTTGCTCTTAATGGATAATCAATCTAAGGGCTGGAAGAGACTTGATGAGGTCATTTGGTTCCCCTTAGACGTGTACAAGCCTGACTTACTTAAGCTGACATTTTTGTTTGACTTTCCCTGCAGGTAAAACAGGCCACAGCCTGTTTTAAGGTGAAGTACTTAATTACTGTCACAGTGGATATGGCGTTCTTTCTTAGGTGTGTTCAACCTACATTAGCCCCATTGTTGCAAATTAAGCCAAATTTCTTTTCAGCTTTTGGCAGATATTCACTGGGCACTACCTTTCATCAACCTGCAGGCATTTATATAGTGGTCTTCTCTTTGCAAGATTAAAAACAAAAGGAGAAAACAAACATAACCAAAACTTCAGTCGCCTTTTCTTACAGAGCCCGTCTTTATATTTATTTATAAACTTCTGTTTAAGTTCAGGGGTACACGTGCAGGTTTGTTACATAGGTAAACTTGTGTCATGGGGTTTATTGCACAGATTATTCCATCACTCAGGTATTAAACTTGATTCCCATTACTTATTTTTGCTGATCCTCTTCCTTCTCCTACCCTCCACCATTCAATAGGCCCCAGTATGTTGTTCCCCTCAATGTGTCCACATGTTCTCAGCATTTAGCTCCCGCTTATAAGTGAGAACATGTGGTATTTGGTTTTCTGTTCCTGCATTAGTTTGCTAAGGATAATGGCCTCCAGCTGCATCCATGCCCCTGCAAAAGACATAATCTGATTCTTTTTTATGGCTGCATGGTATTTCATAGTGTAAATGTATCACATTTTCTTTATCAATTCTTACATTGATAGCATTTAGGTTGATTCCATGTCTTTGCTATTGTAAATAGTGCTGCAGTGAGCATACATGTGCATATGTCTTTATGATAGAATGATTTCTGTTCCTTTGGGTACATAGCCAGTAATGGAATTGCTGAGTGGAATGGTTTTTCTGTCTTTGGGTGATGAAGAATCACCACACTGCCTTCCATAATGGCTGAACTAACTTACATACCCACTGAGAATATATAAGCATTCCTATTTCGCTACAACCTTGCTAGCATCTATTATTGTTTGACTTTTTAATGATAGTCCAGAATGACTGTAACGAATATACATGTGTGTGTCTTTATGATAGAATCATTTATATTCCCCTGGGTGTACTTCTTTGGGTATATCCAAAGGAATATAAATCATGGGGAAAATGCATTTATCTCCTTTTATTTATTTGTTATTGTTATTATTACTGTTTTTTAAGACAGATTCTCACTCTGTCGCCCAGGCTGGAGTGCAGTGGCACCATCTCAGCTCACTGCAACCTCTGCCTCCTGGATTCAGGCGATTCTCCTGCCTCAGCCTCCCAAGTTGCTGGCATTACAGGCATGTGCCACCATGCCTGGCTAATTTTTTTTTTGTATTTTTAGTAGAGACAGGGTTTCACCATAGTGGTCAGGCTGGTCTCCAACTCCTGATCTTATGATCCGTCCGCCTTGACGTCCCGAAGTGCTGGGATTACAGGTGTAAGCCACCCACCCAGCTGTATTTATCTCCTTTTGATGAAAGTGAATATTAGAAAAATATATTGTGTCTCCAAAGTTAGGCTTGTACTTTTTCAATAATAGCCCAGAATGGCTATTATTGAAACTTATAGGTGGAAGGTAAATGATGTGAACACATGTACACGTAGAGGGGAACAACAGACCCTGGGGCCTACTTGAGGGTGGAGGGTGAGATGAAGAAGATGATCAGAAAAAATATTGGTTACTAGGCTTATTACCTAAGTGACAAAATAATGTATACATTAAACCCCCCCGACATGAATGTACCTATATAACAAACCTCCACATATACCTCTGAACCTAAAATAAAAGGTTTTTTAAAAGAAAATAAAATGTATATGGAAATATATAAAGAAATACAATAAATAACTAGCATAAAAGGAAAAATGTTCATAAATAATAATAATTTATTTTTTGTCATTCTTTGTTACTCTGTTTTCAAAATGAAGCCAGAGTGAGATGATCTGTTTATAGATTATTTTATATGGTTTATTTATAGGAGCCCAGATCACCTCACCTAAATCACTGAAATATAATGAGGCATAAGTCCCAAGCCAGGGTAAAAATCAGACTTATTCAGGAAAAAGGAATAGATGGGTGATTTTCCCTAACTTTCAAATATATATATATATATATATATATATATTTTTTTTTTTTTTTTTTTTTTTTTGAGACGGAGTCTCACTCTGTTGCCCAGGCTAGAGTGCAGTGGTGCCATCTCGACTCACTGCAACTTCCGCCTCCTGGGTTTAAGTGATTCTCCTGCCTCAGCCTCTGGAGTAACTGGGGTTATAGGCACCTACCACCACACCTGGCTAATTTTGTATTTTTAGTAGAGATAGCGTTTCACCATGTTGGCCAGGCTGTTCTGAAACTCCTGGCCTCAAGTGATCTGCCGGCCTTGGTCCCCCAAAGTGCTGGGATTACAGATGTGAACCACAGTGCTCAGCCTCAAAGATAGCTTTAAATGCTGTCATATTAATACTTCATGCCAACTAGTTTCTTATCCTCTCACTAGAGTAGTGGGCCTAACATTTACCATATGTTGACCATCCATGCAATTTATCAACCTATCTGAAATACTTTTGAGCATGGAAGTAGTAGCTATTAATAATTATGCTAGAATGACAGATAAAAGTTGGATTTATGCTAGGAAAATTGAGACATACCACTCTTCCGTAACCAATGGGCATATAGTGCAATAACAGTTTAGATATTAGCAATGGCTAGAAATTTGGTTTTCAGCTCAGTAAAAAAATAGATTTTTAAAAATAATTTAAAAAATTATATTACAAAGTGAAAAATTGAACACATGGTGATTATTTTTATTTTTATTTTTATTTATTTATTTATTTATTTACCATGCAACAAAACCTTTATTAACATTTTGAACAGGTTCAGCTATTACTGAAACTTGTTAATTTCTAAACTTAAGTTGGGGCAAATGGCTATAGTGCAGAGTATTGCCATCACTGGGCACTGCGAATGCAAGACTGAAGAATTAACAGCCACCCCTCAGACGCAGGACCAGGTACAGGGTCGACTCTTTCTGGATGTTGTAGTCAGGAAGAGTGCGGCCATCTTCCAGCTGCTTGCCTGCAAAGATGAGCCTCTGCTGGTCGTGGGGGATGCCTTCCTTATCCTGGATCTTGGCCTTGACATTTTCGATGGTGTCACTAGGCTCCACCTCCAGGGTGATGGTCTTGCCGGTCAGGGTCTTCACAAAGATCTGCATTTTGACCTGTTAGCCGATACGACGATACTGCGAATTGCCAATCACGTCCAGCCACGGAAGTCCCAAACACCTTCACCCGACAAAGCCATTCGCCCCTAAACCTGTTGATGGCAGTCAGCCATCAACACTACCAATAATACATATGAATGCTGTGTATATATAAATACCTACAGTCAAAAGCATCTTGGGGAAAAATGCTTCATCTCCTTTTGATGAGAGTAAATATTGCAAAAATACATTATTTCTCCAAAGTGATGCTTATACTTTCTAAGAAAATTATGTTATTATATTTGCATTTGTACTGGCATAAGACCTGATAAATATTTTTATCTCCCTAAGGTTGAGAAGGAGTTGGGCAAGGAATCATAAAATGGAAAAATATTTCTCTAGATCAGCAGGCTGTTTATGGATGGTGTTAACAGCACAAATCCAAGTTTTGTTTGTTTCAACTACATGTTTAACTAAAGCTTTAGTTCTCATCTGTTCTGTTCTCTGCACAAGGAACCCACAAAACTCTTCAAATATGCCACACAGTCCCCATTGGTGGTGCTTCACTGATTTGACCTAAGGCTAACATTGGCTCCTCCTTTCTGCATGCTCCCACTAACGACTTTGCATTCTTGACCCTCTGTATTGCCTGCATCCTTCCCTGCTGCCCTGTCAGGATGATCAGCTCCTAGAAGTAAGAGGCTGTCTCCTGTTCAGCATTGCTTCTTTACCATCCAACATACATGCTTGAAATTAAGTGAGTGCTCCATAAATAAAGTCAATAGTACCACATGTCTTATGTTGAAGAAGTAGCCTTACTGGAGGTCTTTTGAAAAACCCTGTATTGTAGTTACTACGGCTGCCATAACAAAGGACCATAGAAAATAAAGAAAGAATTTATTTTCTCACAGTTTCAGAGGCTGGAAGTCCAAGATCAAATTGTTGGCAGTGTTGTTTCTTCTGAGACCTCTTTCATTTGCTGGCAGATGGCCATCTTCACTGTGTCCTCACATGGTCTCTCTTCTGTGTGTGTGCACTCCAGGGTGTCTGTGTGTTCAATTTTCTCTTCTTATAAGGACACTAGTCAGCAGGGCTGGATTTCAGACTTGCACAGATACATGTATCTATCTTCAATCTAAGGTACATAAGGTATATTTGTATAAAAAGTATATTTTTTACATACATAATTATATATACGTATATACTTTATTATGTACCTTTTTCATCTCTTTACTGTCTATGTGTCTTTCTGTATAATTTTCCTGTAGCAATATATATAATTACTTATATATATCATACTGTATATAGTTTTCCTTTAGTAACATATATACACATATATATGTATAAATAATACTTTGACATATAATAAAACTCAAATACTTGTAGATAATAGGATTCACAGAGTTTACAATAAGGATGTCATTTCTTAAGAAACTGATTTTTAAGTTGAACAAACCTCCATTACAATTTAAGGGATATTTTGACTTAAACATGTAGTTCGAAAATATCATCTTAGAGAATTTGTGAAATAAAATTTAACACACTTACTTATTAGCTCAATAAATACTAAGTGTCAACATTGTAGTAAGCATTTTTTTAGATTCTGGGGCTATAGCAGTAAACAAAACAGATAAAAATGGTTGTTCCTGCTTTATAGTTTTATTCCATTGTTGTCCGAAAATAATCTTGATATAATTTTGGTTTTTAAAATTTTGTTGGGGCTTGTTTTGTGGTCTAATATATGGTCTATCCTGGTCTATTATATGGTCTGTCCTGGATGATAATGTTCTGTGTGCTCTTTATTCTGTAGCTGCTGGATAAAACGTTCTGTAAATGCGTTAGGTCCATAAGGTTTAAAGTGCAGTTTAAATTCAACATTTCTTTGTACATTTTTGTCTAGATAATCTTCCTAGTGCTCTGAGTAGGGTGTTGAAGTCCCCAACTAGTATTGTATTGGAGTCTGTTTCTTCCTTCAGATCTAATATTTGCTTTATATATATGGGTGCTTCAATGTTGAGTGCATATATATTTTGAATCATTATATCCTCTTGCTGAACTAATTGCTTTATCATTATATGTGTCCCTATATTATTCATATAATGATGAGGGGATTAATTCAGCAAGAGGATGTAACAATTCTTTGTCTCTATTTATTGTTTTGACTGAAAGTTTCTTTTATCTGACGTAAATATAGCTACTCCTGCTCACTTTTTGCTTGCATTTGCATGGAATATCCCTTTCTATCTCTTTACTTTTAGTCTGTATATGTCTTTACAGATAAGTTTCCTATAGGCAGCATATAGTTGGATCATGTTTTTTAATTCATTCAACCAGTCTATATTTTTTAAGTGGAAAGTTTAATCCATTCACATTGAAGACTATTATTGATATGTGAGGGCTTATTCCTGTCATTTTATTAATTCCTAGTTGTTTTGTTTATTCTTTGTTCCTTTTTTGTCTCTTACTGTTTGTCATTGTTGTTTGATAATTTCTGTAGTCTTAACATTTGAGTCCTATCTCATTCTTATTTGTGTGTTTTCTCTACCACTGGGTTTCATAGTTTTATGGGTTTTGATCATGGTAGGTAGCATCCTTTTGCATCTAGGTGTAGCACTCCCTTACGCTTTTAATGTAGGACTGCTGTAGTGGTGATAAATTCATTCTGCTTTTGCTTGTCTGGGAAAGACTATTTTTCCTTCATTTATAGATAATAACTCTGTGGGGTATATTATTCTTGGCTGACTCCTTTTTTTCTTTGTCTTTCAGTACTTTGAATATATCATCCTATTCTCCTATTCTCTCCTGGCCTGAAAGGTTTCTGCTGAAAAATTTTGTTAGTATGATGAGAGTTCCCTAACAAGTGACTAGACGGCTTTTCTCTTACTGTTTTTAGAATTATCTCTTTGTCTTTGACTTTTGACAATTTGGCTATAATGTGCCTTAAAGAAGACCTTTGGGTTATATTTATTTCAGGATCTCTGAGCTTCTTGTATCTGGATGTTTAAATTTCTTGCTAAACTTGGGATTTTTTTTCAACAATTATTTTGTTAAATAGGTTTTCTATGTTTTTTATATTCTCTTCCCCTTCTTAAATATCCAACATTTAAATATTTGGTTGCTTTGTGGTGTCCCACGTGTCACATAGACTTTCTTCATTTTTTTAAATTCTTTTTGTTGTTGTTGTTGTTTCTGACTGGGTTATTTCAAAAGATCTATCTTAAAATTTAGAAATTCTTTCTTCTGATCTGTTGTTGGAGCTCTCAGTTGTATTTTTCTTTCATTTATTGAATTCCTTAGTTCCAGCATTTCTATTTGGTTATCTTATGATATCTGTTGTTAAACTTCTCATATAGATATGTGTTTTCCTTATTTGCATTATCTGTATTATTTAGTATTCTATCAAGTTTCTTTAATATAATTATCTTTAATTATTTATAAGGCCATTCATAGATTTTCTTTTTGTTGAGACCTGTTACTGGAAAATTGTGTTTCTTTGGAGGTGTCATGTTTCCTTGCTTTATCATGTTTCTTACATTGTTCCTTGTTTCTTGTTCCTTACATTGATATCAGCATATCTGGTGTAACTGTCGCTTCTTCTAATATTATTGGTTGACTTTCATAGGAAAAGACATTTTCCTATAGATCTATCTATAGTGGTTGGGTGGGTGCTTTGGCTTTGATTCTGGATGAGTGCAGCAGCATAGTCTTTGTATGATTTCTTTAGCTGTAACCAGTGTCAGTGGTGTCTGTGACTTAGTGGCTTAGAATTTAGTTGTTAGTGGAGATTGTAGCAAGGCTTCGCTGGGGACAAGGACATCAGGCATGTTTTCCTCAGGGCCCTGGGTGGTGTTTGCAGGCGTACTGATTAAGGGTCTAGGCAGGCGTGTCCTTTTAGCCTCCAGGTGACTTGCCTGGGTGGCAGTGGTGGCTTGACTGAGTGGGTGAACAGGTGGGTTCTGTGGTGACAATAGAATAGCAGTTCAATCCTCAGGCTCCTGAGTGGCATGTAGGGAGTGCTAGCAGTGGCAGTGGTTGGCTTGGTGGTTCAGTTCTCAGGCCCCCTGATAGTGCCTGTGGCAGTGGAAATGGATGGGCTGGTCTTTCCTCAGATCCCTGGATGGCACACATGTTCAACAGTGGCAATGGTGGGTGGGGTGGAACTGTCTCAGGCCCCCTAGTGGCATGCACAGGCCAGCCAGAGCAGATTGAGTAGCTAGATCCGTGGGCACCCAGACAATGCAGTTAGGCACAGTGGCACTGGGTGACATAGGCTTGTTTTTAGGCCCAGTGCCTGGGAAGGCCTGTCCCAGGCTCTCTCATGGTACATACAGGAGTGCAGCAGCCTTACTGCTGGAGGGAGTGAGGTTGTTGTCAACAGTAGTCTCCTTAGGCAGTTAGTTCTCAGGCTGTAAGGAGAGTAAGCTTTGGCTTCTTTTGTCCTGGGGGCAGTTTTCCTAGTGTGGTGCACTGCCTGTTCCCCAGGGTATACGACACTGCCTGGGTTAGACTCCTTGAGACTAAGTCTCATTTCTGGGTACATCCAGTGGTGCAGTGCTATGGCGCTCTGAATGGGTGTTGGGGGATGGAAGTGGAACTTCAGGAATGTCGAGATCAGGGGCTCTTGGACTCCAGAGGAGGATATAGCTGTTGGGGACTGGGCTCTCAAAATGGCCCTGTGCTGCAGCTGCTTGGGTTTCAGGGGGTGTGTGAGCCTCAGCACAAACCTCTTCTGTGCAACAATGTCACTATGTGGACTCCAGTCATCTCTTATACTAGTATCAGGGTCCGTAAGAGCAAAGAAACTCTCTTGTGGCTAGGATTACAAGGTTCCATGGTGAGAATATGAACAACTGGGGATATCTTAGTTACCTTTTCTTTACAATAGAGAGTTTCTCCAAGCTTTGAACCAATCCCAGCCAGGCAGTTTTGCCTTCCTCTTTCTATGCCTCAGTTGTTCCCTGCTACTTTCCTGCTGAATTTCAGTGTTCTCACTTAGAAGTTCTATTTGATGTATGATTATCTATTCACCGTTTTGGTCCTTCTTTGTGGAGGAGGCAAATGCCAGGCACCTTTAATCAGTCATTTGGAATTCCA